TGCAAAGCCATGTACAGCCATGTACAGCCAAGCACAGCCATGCACAGCCATGTACAGCCATGCACAGCCATGTACATCCATGTACAGCCATGTACAGCCATGCACAGCCATGCACAGCCATGCACAGCTTCTTGCTCTTTTCTTTGCAGTAACCCCACAGATCTGCAGCCCACCCTGCCCACAGCTCCCAGGCAGGAATTCTGCCAACTCCATTTCTTCCATCACTTTGACGATGTCTATCACAGCTTGGTTTTTCACCATGGGATGCCTCGATCTGTGAGATAAACTTTTAGATAAATGATTTGGACAAACGAAAGAATTAACCAGAATTCCGAATGACAGCTTCCAACACTTGGGCACTGGCCAAGGAACTTTCAAAAGCTGAAATAATAGCTCAGATCTGAGAGATTCTGCAAGGCCCATAAATTAAATAACCCTCTTCAAACCCGCCGCCGGATCTGCCATGGGGCTGAGATTTGCCTGGACTTCATCCAAATAATGGGCTTCAAAATTAAATGTTTTCGCAGGATGTTGTTTTTTGGATATTTTGGATGTTTTTAACTATTAAGTAAAGAAATAAACTGAAACCCCACGGAACTTGTTGCACACGAACATAGAGAAGGTCCCATAGGGTCAGAAAGGCACCAGAAGGTGCTAATTTAGGCCGGGGAAATGGAAATTAAGATGAAACCATCATGGACAAGTGATGAATGCATGAAAAGCTATACTCTGAGAAACAACAACTGCTGGGAGGGCGAATCCAACCCCAGCTGCACACAAGCCATGCAGCTCTGCATGGAGCTTTCCTCCTGCAGGCACTGAGTGCATGCAGTCAGCATTGCCTTAGGGACTGCTTCCAATCCCAAACGAGAGAGGTGCAGCCCATGTCAGAACCTGCAATAAGCATTCCCAACCCATGCAGCCAAGGAGCTGCATGAGAGTCCCACCTTCATTTAGAAGTGAAATACAGGTGGTTGTAAGGAATAAAAACTGCATCCTGTGAAACATGTATGTAGAATCATAGGATTGTTAAGGTTGGAAAAGACCACAGAGCCCATTAGTTCAAAATATTTCCAGCACAGACAGAAACCTGAAGATCCCACGCCTGGGGTTAACACCATAAGCTGAAACAAAGGGGCTGTAAAAATGCTTTCCCCACCTTAACGATAGAAGTATTTTAATTCTCAGGTGATAACATTAACAAGAGCTTGGAATTTTACATTGGCTACATCAGATAGAAGCGCAACAGATGCTCTTTGAGACAAATCATTCATCCGGAACCTCCAGGCAAAAAAAAGCTGAAGGAAGCATTTCTGAGCTTGATGAATGTCCCATTAAAACGAACTTTTCATCACATCTCATTTAGTGAGCAATGTGGGGAGCTGCATTCTGCAGCACACAACAGGAGGATGCCTTTGGGCTTGCTGCCCACCTGCAGAGATGCAGTACTCTCCACACACACCCTCTGCAGCTCAATTTGTGTGGGAGTACCCTGCAGGCTCCCAGCCCCTTTGCACACACTTTTGCACCATCTGACGCCCATCAAGCACCCAAAGGTGCCCTTTGCAAAGGGTAAATTGGCGTGGCAGGTGGACAAGTGGTCCAGCAGTTGGTGACCCTGCACAAAGAAGGGGGGTTGAAACTGGATGATCGTTACGGTCCCTTTCAACCCAGGCCATTCTATGATTCTATGATCCTGTGAAGTGCAGTTCGCAGCGCATGCCCTGCTGCAGGTTTTCTTGTTGTATTCCTGCATGCATTCTTGTTGTACACCCAGTTGTGCAGTGAAACGTTTTCCAAGTAGAAATGGAGAAATAGAAAATGTAACTGCAGGTGCTACAGGGGGTCAGCACTGCTGGGGGTTCCAAAGCTATGTGAAGATCCTGCAGGACAATAATGCTGGGTAAGGGGTGTGAAAGGTGCCATGCAGCAGCCATGAAGCCACCCGCAGGCACCAGATGTGCTTGCAAGGAGCAAAGAAGAAATGCTGAGCGTCTTGAGCATCTTAAGCCACATGCAGCCTAGGAGGAAGAATACATTCATAACCCACAGATCAACATTTAAATCATTGCAAAGATATCAAAGGAACTTATGTCTATATACTCCAGGCCCAGCATCCCTCTACAGAGAGGGCTGTAGGCTGCCCTCAGCCTTTTGCCAGCACCCCGAGGAGTGCAGCCCTTGCCCAGAAGAAGGCAATTTGAGCTGTCAGGCTGTGGGGATCCTTAAAATCATCCTCTGTGTGGGCAGATGCTCAAAGGCCTTATGGGAGGGTCATTATTGGGCCTTCCAGATAAACACGGGGCTTCTGCTGGACGCTGGAGGGTGGCACACGGAACGCAAAGCTGGATATCTGCAGATCTGTGATAACAAAGGAAGGAAGCAGAGGGACACCGGTGGCAAAGGAGAGCCTGAATGAAGCGCTGGAAAAAGAAACAAAGAGGTGATAAGGCTCCGGGGTGGAAAAATACTGGAAACAAACACCGAGCAAAACACTGGGAGGTAAAAAAGTAGGGTGAGCAGAGGGGTGAGATTGAATTCATGATCACGTCTGACTTTCCCTTTGAGTAATGCATGGTCTGTGTTACAGCATGCTGGAGAGTTTCATGCTCAGCAAAAGGAGCACACCGGAGATTCTGCTATCAGCTCAGGGCCAGGGTTTGCTCCCACAGTGAGATCTGTATCACCTCCTGGTGATCCTGGTGGTTTCTGTTCCAGCAGAGCAGCTCATTTTTGGAAATGACTAAAAATACAGCTGAAAAGTCATCGAGTTATCAGAGACACAAAAAAGTAATAGAAATCACTGAGTCCACTTTTCATCACCACAATGTGAGTGGGACTGGGCCCTTTTCAGGCTGCAGAATTGTGTTGGCTTTGGTCAGAGAAAGCAAGGAGGTGTGTGAGCAACTGGGGGGAATGGGGCAGTGAGGATGGGATTCTGATGTCCTCCTTCCCAAAACCTGGGGATCGAGGGGTCAGGAATTAATTCCTGATGCTGTACGGTGATCTGAGGTCTGGTCACCACATGGACAGGTTCCAGGGGGAGGAATTGAACTGCAGATACTTTTATTCAGAGTAAAACTGACTCTCCTTCAGCTCAGTTTAATGTGTTTTGGAATGCAATTTAATTTGGAAGGAGCACACCCGCAAGTTTGAACTGATGTGGCCGATTTCCATCGCATTTCACATGGGTTAACAGTCAGGTGAGGTGAGGGGCAGCCTGGGCTGAGGACGTGAAAGGCCTCGAAGAGAAAACCTCCCCAAGTCAGTAACTTTCCCACCGGATTTCTGAAAGGAATGCTTTAATAGTGGGGATTTCAGTGTTTTCATCATCTGTTTTCTGGGCCAACAAATTACTTTGAGAACCCAGCAGTGCCGGGCTGCACTCAGAAACCACCCTGGGACCAAAGCCCCATCCCTGCTTCCCAGCAGCCAGCAGTAGGGAATTTTCCCCTGCAGGATGGTGGGAGCTGCTCCTCCAACACTGCACACTGTGTCAGTGCTCGGCTGGGAGGGTTTTCTAATGCAAGAAGGAAACCTCAGGCTGGGCAGCTCTGCGAGCGGTGATATCACCCAGGAATGAGGGATGATTCATCACTGCTGCACAGACAAAAGGGAGCTCTGCAGCCTGGTGTGGACATAAAGGATGGGTGAAGCACTGCTGTTCCTGCTGCATCTCAGCTCTCCTGGAGGTGTGATCCCATCCAGACAAACAAGGCTTGCTGTGTTTGGGGTTCAGAACAGCCACAATCTGCCCCAAATCAGGAACGAGGCTGCAGCTCCCACCCAGCCCTGGCCAAAGCATCCTGCACAGCCCAGGCACGGCAGCCTCAGACAAACCCTCCTGTGGCACAAGCAAATGCACACGAAAACATTTTGCAGAGAATAGCACATAAATCAAAGTCACAGAAACCGGGCAACATGAAGCCACTTCATGAAACTGGACCTTTCTAACAATGCCTCCTTTGTTCAGCCCTGTTTGGAAGTCAGAGATTCCGGCCCAGCCCTGCCCAGGCAGAGCACTGTTTCCCAAGCTCCAGCATTATGAGGTTCCTGCTCACAACTCTGCTTCCAATGGAGCCCAGGTGAGAACTTTGCCCACTCTGCCTCTAGGCTGCCACCCAACACCACGCCACCCAACTGTGTCCTATCCAACACCACGTCACCCACTGTTGTCCTGTCTGATGCTGTGCTCCCAAATGCCGTGCCAGCCAGAAATCTCTGTGGCACAAGCATCCTTCTGGCATCCCAATGTATTTTGGGGGATGCAGTGCATTGGGGAACAGCCCCATTTCTCACTGTACAGCTGAGGGGACACAACACTGCCCTGGCAGCCCAAGACCCTTCCTGGGCACAGCCACAGTGAGTTGGCACAATCTCCCAAGCTGCTTGAACCCAGTCCATCATTCTGTTTGGAGTTTCAACCTTCTCCTTCAACACGCATGTTGTGATGAACAACCAGTAAAGCCTCTTATTTCACCAAAATATCACAGCATCTGCCTCACACTCTTGGGGAAGCAGCAGAAATTTGCATTGGCTGTGGCCACACGATTGGTTTCGGTCACTTTGTTCAGTTTTGCTTTGACCACATCAATCATCCAAACACCCCCAAAATCAAAGCGAAACCAAACTGAGCGCCTGCAAACCCCCGGGGATGTTTGGTGCTTCCCCAGAGATGCTGGGTGCCACCGGAAGCTGGGAGCCCCCACCCCAGACTCCTTTCCCGGCGGGGACAAGGAGCTCCGCTCACCTATCGGGGTGCCACCAGCTTTGTAGCACAGCACGGGGACCCCGCAGGGTCGCCCAACACGCGGACGGGTCCCAACCTCCCCCGACGGGACGCGCTCCCCAGCTTCCCCGCTCCCCGCCGGTCCCCACCCGGCCCCGCACCCCCCCGCCCCGCCGCCCGGGCCCGCCCCCCCGGCCCGCCCCACTGCAGGGCCGGCCTCGGGGCCTCGGAGCCGCTTTAAGTGGATGCGACGGCGGCGGGCGGGAGCGGAGCGCAGCGCTGGGCACGGAGCCCCGACCCCGCTATGCCGCACTCGGTGGCCCTGCGCGGCCCCTCGCCGTGGGGCTTCCGCCTGGTGGGCGGTAAGGACTTCAGCACGCCGCTGACCATCTCCAGGGTGAGCGGGGCGGGGGGCTGCGTTCATTCATCCATCCCTCCCTCCCTCCCGGGTCAGCGTTCGGCTCCGGTGCAGATGCTGCTCGGCCCCTTTTGTAGTCTTTAGTTCCTGAGATTTAGGTTTAAAGTTGGCAAGGCGCACGGGTTCGTTCCCAAAAGCGGGTCTGTGGGATCTGGGGGGGGGCACCGGTGGGGTTGGGGCGGAGTCCTGTGCGTGGCTACGGGGTCTATGGGACCCATGTGGGACTGGTGGTTGGACGAAGTGTACTCGTAGTGCTGCATGACAGCCCGAAGATGCGTTCTGGAAACTTCTTAAAAGCATCTCGGTGAGCGCACAGTGGGCTCTGTGTGTAGAGAGAGCGAGCTGAGCCCCGCGCACGGTGGGGTTGTTCCCGTGCTCCATGCCTACATTGCAATGGGAGCAGTGCCCAACGCTGCTCAGCCCTTCCTCTGGGTTTGGGGGTATCCGTGGGCTCGGTAAACACTGAGAGCATTGAGAGGCTCTGGGAACAGCTGGATCGTAAAACTGTTGTCCTAACACATAAAAGCTGTTTGCCATCTCTTTCTTCGCCCGCCAAAGCCATGACAGAAAATGGAAAACATTTACCCTGTGCTATAAAGAATGAATTAGGGAAGAAAGCGCCTCTTAAAATCTGCTGGTTTGTGTTGGAGCTCAGATGCGCCTCTCGCGTAGCTCCCAGTGACTGCTTTTGTTCTGGTGCCCCTCATGGGGTGAAGGATGGATGTGGGGGAGCTCGGAGAGGGCAAATAAAGAGGAGGTGAAAGGAAAACTCTCTTTCCCTTTTCCCTCCCCCCCAGCTGTGCAGAGTAATACTGAACTTCACAGCTGCCTGTGGGTGTCTGCGCGAGTGTTTCTGCTGTGCAATAGAACATCTTAAGGCAGAGGTGGGAGCTGCTTTGCTGTTGCTTTGAAAAAGTTTGGCTTAATGTTCAACAAGAGAAAACAAAGTCTGCTTCTGCACAGTGAGGCAGTGCGCAGCTGGGATGTGGGACCTGGAGGTGTGAGAACAGCATTTATTGGGACAGGTCCTCCTCTGAGCAGAAGAGGGTGTTGCAGGGTGGTGCTCAGGTCGTGGATCAGGCTCTCCTCCCTCTCATCCAGCTCCTGGTGCTGTCCTGGCTGGGTGGGAGGCGATGCTCCTGTGATGGTGCACGGCATGATGATGGGCATTGGGCATACTGCAGTTCCCATCCTGGGCTCTGCTCCTACCATAAAGAGCCCTTGCTGGCTTGGGAAATAACACCCAAAAAGGGTGCAATGAAGGAGGAACTGCTGGGTTCCCTCTGCAGTGGTAGCAATGGCCGGGGCTGGGGGGCCTCTGAGAGCTGTGCACAGAGCAGGTGTGCTGCCATGCTCCTTCCATCTCAGAATCGTAATGAGATAATTAAACTAATTGCTTGAGCAGCATTTAGGTCCCTCTGTTGGGCCAAACTGAGTCCGTGGCCCCTAGTCCCCCCCCCCCACCTGGGGTAAGAGGAGATCTGCAGGGCTGCAGACAGAAGTGTGGGAGGGATCCTCTCCCCGCAGCCCATTGTTGAGGCTCTTGGCTGGCTTTCGCCTCCTTCCAAGTGCTCTCTTATTTATTTTGTATTAAAACGTCATTAAATTACAAACAGAGACTGTAAAAGGCAGAAGCCATGGTGGGAGGAGGGAGCAGACCGTGGGGCTCCTGCATGCTGCTGTGAGCATCGTCTGCCTGCCTGCTGCGTGGGGAGCAGAGTGGGGTGCTGGGTGCATGGCTGCGTGCTGCTGGTTACAGTGGGAGCTCAGTGGCTGTGTTTTGGGATTTGAGATGGCTGTGGGTGGCTTTCAGACAGGTCTCGGTGCCAAAGCTGTCTGCCTCTTTCTAATCCTACTCCTACTTGTTGTGAAATGTGAATTCCCTGTGTAGGGATGGTGGGTGGTGGAGGGTGGTGGAAAAAAAGTCTTGGTTGCTCGTAGGTTGGTTTCTCTGGTCTTTGCTAGACTGCTGAAGGAAATGATTTGTCTTCAGCCCCAGTAGCCCTGTGTTGTTTGGAGCTCATGCTGCTGCCTTCCTGGAGAGCTCTTCCAAAACCTAGCTGAGTGCCATTGCTCTGATGGCAGAGATATTAAATCAGTGGAGACCAACCCCAAAGTGGGGCTGGGGGGGGGGGGGGTGGGAAAGAGATAAAGAAGTGATGCTGTGAGGGGAGCTGTTGGAGCAGCGGGTGCTCAAAGCCAAGCCTTGGGCAGTACCTGCAGAGGATGAACATGGAGAAAACATAGCTTTGGCAGTGTGGAAAACAATGATGTTGTACAACACTGGTTTGAAATGGGGCTTGAATGAGTTACCAGGGCTTGCTTTACCCATGAGCTCCCTATGTGGCCACAGTTGCACAGGTGCAGCTGGTGGTGGCGAGTCCATCACTTGCAGCTGTTCCCAAGGAGCTCATTAAATTGATCCATGATCTATTTGAAAGCAATTCTCTTCCCACTGTGCTTTGCTAATGATAAATGGGGATTGCATCGAGAACAGCTGATGCTGAGCTCGAGGGCTTGAGCTGGAGCACGAAGTTCTCCAGCCTTAGAGATAAGGAAATGCAAATGCTGATGGGTGGGCCTAGGGGGAGCCCTGCTTTGCTTTGTGCTATGGTTACAGAAAGTTGGAGCTGGGCGTAGTGCATTGTGTAATTAAAGGTTCCTCCTTCTAGGGATATTTATAGGGGAAGGGAAGTGACCCAGAGCGTCTGCTTAGAGTCTGTTTAATGACTCAGTAGAAAGTGGGTTTGGAGCTGGGTTCATTTTCTGGTAGCTGTCAGCTGCTGTTCCTTGGCTGAGGGGGGTGACAACAGGGCTGTGCTGGGGCTGCTGCAGCTCCATGCAGGTATGTGGAACAACTGACACAGTGCTGTGCCCATAACCACATCAGTCACTGCTGTGGGTCTGTGTGGGATCGCAGCTGGTCTGCCCCTTCAGAAGATAATCAGTCATTAGTGTAACTAGAATGTATTTAATGGCCTGAACTTGCCCGTGGAGTTCCTGCAGCAGCTGGCATTGCCTCCTGCCCAGCTCTGCCAATGCCAAGTGCTGCTGCTGTTTGTCATAGCAGCTTGGCAGGTATTGACAAATGGACTGAATCCAGTGTTAGTAAATGTATTTTTCTTAAACTAAAAGGCTATTTAATGGCATTTAAGAAAAGGACACAGTCGTTCTTTTATCCACTGCCCCCAGCATCGGTATACATGCTGGCCTCCAGGAGAGTAGCAGAGCATGCATTTTCAGCTATGGGTGTGGAACCGTAACACGAGGAGAGCAAGAAATAATGGGTCTGCAATCCATTATCTGGGCATTGTTTGTCAAGTTCGGGTTGGCTTTTCAGTGTAAGGAACTTTTCTGTTTGAGCAAATAGTTCTGTTGCAGGCTGGGGAACTCGAGGAGGGGTTCTGTCTGTGGAGGAATTCCTATGAGGGGTGCTGTGTTTGCTCCCCCCTTGCTGTGCTCCTGCCCACTGAATGCTGTGACTTATGGGGTGGGTGTTCTGCAGGCTGGGATGGCAGAGTGGGGCTGATAACCCCATAGGTGCCCACCTGTTGGCTACAGGGATGCAGCTGGAAATGCCAGCGAAGGGCATGTGGCTTTCCCTTTGTTCAGCTGCTAGGCCATAAAGCTATTTCTTAGCTTTCTATGCAAATGCTGTGTATTGGATTGTTTGTTAAGTGGAAATGACACACTTTGCTGTGTGCTTTGAAATAATGGCTCTGGTCGAGCCTAAAGCAAGGAACACCTCTGGCTTCTGCTGCCCTTCAGCTTTCCTGTCTGTATGAAAGAGCTGTGTCACTGTTGCAGGTTTGTGTTTGTTCCAAGGTGGTTCAAATGGGAACAATGTTTTTAAATGGAAGGAATTCATTTTGCTTGTTCTTTCACCGTGGTTGGTCTCGCAGTGATGGCTGTAAGGGGCTCAGTGGAACATCTGTGCCATTCTGGTACTCAGCACTGAACGTGAACTGAAGATGAGCGCTCACAGAAGCATTGCAGAGATGTTTGCTGCTGAAGGTACTGAGACATGGAGGCTTCACTTAATAAATGGAAGCAGAGTAAGAGCTGGTGCAGGAGACAGCAGCAGTATTGCATGTTGGAAGGAAAGCTACTGCTAATTACCCTAATCAAGCACGCTGATAATCCCAAGTGGGAAACCAGGCGGAAAGAATGATTCACAGAGGTCTATTCATACCCAGGCTGACCTTGGTGCGGGTGCAGCAAAACAAATGCGGCACACCCCTGAGAGTGCTTCAGGCCTCCACTGGGTCGAACAAAGCAGAAAGGGTTCTTTTGGCTCTTGTTAGAATATTGACATCACCTTCATTTCAGAGATTGAAAGATTGCCTGTTGGAACAGGTAGGCAGAGCTGCTTGGAGAAGTGCATGGGTGTAACCTGCTTGATGCAAGGATAAAGTAGAATGAAGTGAGGTATTGGAGTGCTGCTGTTGGTGTGGGCAGCGTGCAAGGGAAATACCTGGGGTGTTTGGTTTGGTCTTAAACTTTGTGTTGCTCTATAGCACAGTAAGTGTTGGTTAAACATAGAATCATAGCTTGGATTGGGTTGGGATAGAGCTCTGAAGGCCACCTGGTCCCACTCCCTGCAGTGGGCAGGGGCACCACAGCTCAGTGCTCAGAGCTTCCCAGCCTGACCTGTGCCTCTCCACCTTTAGCATAAGCAACTTCTTCCTTATAACCAATCTAAATCTCCCCTTTTTCAGCCTGAAACCATTTCTCCTCGCCCCATCTCCTTCCCTTTAGGAACTGAGGGGCCACTTGTGTAGGTGTTCCTGCTGGAGGGACATCAGTCCTTTACTGCAAGTGTGTCACTGTGGGCTATGTGGCATTAACACAGTTGCAATTCACTCTTCTTGTTTGGGGGAAGTGCAGGTGGTGTCTGCAGGTGGCACAATGAGTCCTAGAGCATGCACATCCTCTTACAATCCTCTTACAGCTCCGTGTCATCTCCTGGCTCTGATACC